TTTCAAAATGCACTTATCGGTACCTTTTCGACATGGTACACCCTCAAAGCTCGCAATGAGCCTCCGCTCGAGTGCCGCTCCCTACCCCCCCCCCCCGCTTTACCGGCAATGGCCTGGATTTCTGTACCCGTGCACTACGCCCGTGGGCCCCTTTGAGCTAGCACCGGGCCCCCCGGGTCAGCGCAGGGGCCCCTTTGCCAAGTTGGCCCCCCCCCAAACTCCAAGTCTGCGACCGCCCCTGCACAGGACCATTGGACAGCGAGCCATTGAATAGAAAACATGAAGCAATGTAAGTTCTGACCGCTCATGAGGCAGTGCAGTTGCTGAGAACTTCCAAGAAAGCTGGAACGGTGAGCCGAAAACTCGTCCGGTCCAGGAAAGCCTCGGGGACGCGACACTCGGCGTTACGACCCACGACCTTCCCCGTGCCGTCGGGTGAAGGCAGAAGTCAGCAGCGCCACCTGAGGACGTCCCAGACACCGTTCTGCGGTTCACTGCGCGCCCACAATGCGGCCGGGCTGGTTCACGGCTCGGTTATACGGCCGCCGATCACATGGGCCGCCCGACTGAGACAATGGCCACCGGGAACAGTGCTCCGATTGAGGAGCTCACGCGTGGGATGCCGCTGAATGTTTTCATAATAGCGCCGGGTGGGTGGGACACAGCGGCTGTCACACGGTCAAAGAACCAGGTCACATCGAACTCCGGTCGGTCACAGCACGCTGCCGCGTCCGGACGGCTCGACATGGGTTGTGTATTACAATCAGATGTGATGCAGAATTGCGTGCTTATTTTACAGCTTTTGGCATATATTGCAGCGTACAATTGGTGGTCACTTATTCACGTCACTAACAGATAACGTCCGACTAATCGGGCTCGAGCGCTAGAGGTACTTACCTATATAGGTACTTACGTACGGACGAGTAACAGTGAGAGCAACAAACTAAATTGTTTTCAATAATCCCGTTGAAAACGTGCACGCTTGCAGTATAAACTTAAAAACATCCGAATCACCCTTTCAACACATCATGGCCATGGTTTAGGCACCCAAGGCCGCTGATGCCCCTCTGCTGTGCTCGAATCAGTGGTCACTCATAATCTATCATTTATGGCCTCATTTATTAAAATATTTATCGAACACATTGTATTCGCATTTCATTATCGCTATTTACCATCACATTAAAAAGTCTCATCTTGGTGTCTATTGAAATACATCGTCCTCATGAAGGAAGCCAATGACAGACACCGTTTACCGTAGGTGACAAATGAGGAAATCATCAAGTCAGCGGCTTGGAACGATGCATGATTCGATAAGCTGAGAGTTGCGCGCCGCGTGTCTTCCATCACGATTTGACGGCCGATTTTGATCTGCGATCGGCCGATGGCTGCCGCCTCCGTCACCGTCCGGTACGCGGCATCAGGTCACGGTCCGGAGGGTGCCGGTCGTGCTGCCGGAGCCGCCGGGGCAGCCGGAGTCGCCGGGTTCCGCTCGGCCGGACGACCCGCGCCACTCGCCGCGCAGGACTCGTAACGGGCCGTCACGGACATCCTACATCCACCGTCGGACGTGACGCGACCGGGAGGCTGTGACGTGACGAAGCCGAGATGTTGTGACGTGACACCGTGTTCTGCTCGAGGGCGGAGAGCGTTGAGTACCGAGAGCTAACAGAAGTGAGCTTGAGCATCACAAGAGGCTCATACGCGCTCTCTAGTGCAGGTCCAACGCTTACCGCTTCAGCAAATATACGTTATACTTGTACTATAAAGCGCAGGTCTCACAAATAAATGCAATTTTGCGACCTCTTGCAATTTTGTTATTTATGTGCCGTGAAGGAAGACAAATGAGGCACACTTTCAAATGAGACAGGTGCAACAGGTCATGCCCCAGCAGAAGAAGAAGGCAGAGGCTGACAGTAACCTGCAGTTGACCTGACTGTGACCGGGTGCGACTGTCGTGCCCCGGGTCTGTCTGATTGCAACTCGACCACGCCCGAGTCTGCAAGGCCCGGATGATGTTCAAACCGACACTCAGAAAGCGTGTCATCCTCGCCGAGTGACAGGGTGGGGTGGCACCGTCTCTCTGCTAATGTCGGGTGCGTTTCACACGACCTGAACCCATCCATCAGATGAGGCAGCACTCGTAAGTTACGGAGAGAGTGGGTTCTATCGAAAATGCAACATTTTTACCCGAGATCTTATTGCTTCAGGTCCTCCTCATTCGTCTTATCCTATTGTCTGCATAGGCGCGGGAGCCGGGGGGGGGGGGGCAGTGGGGGCAGCTTGCCCCCCCCCCCAACTCTGGGGCCGTGGGGGCGATGCCCCCACAGCTTTGAGACGGAATACCACACTTTTTTGCAAATGTCTTCTTTTTTGTTGAAAAAGCCAAGGGATGAAAAATAAGTGGCCTAAAACCGGTGAGAAAACTAGATTTGGGGGTAGGTACCCTAGGTTGATCTCTGTGTGCCCCCCCCCCCCCAGTCTGAACGTAGTTCCCGCGCCCCTGATTGTCTGTATTCATTTCTCCTCTTTTTCCTTTATTTTCTGATGTCCTGTGCCCCACCCAATCGCCATTTTGTCTGTCCGGCCTTCTCACGCTCTACATTACACTGTAATACACGGTCCGGCACTGTTTCTCAGCACTGAGTTTTCGCTGCTCGAGTCGTGCGGATCCCACCACTTGTCGCATTGCGACACGTGTGTCATGACCTCCAGCCCGTGCTAGTGGCTTGTTGATTTCACTAGCCACTCAGCGGCGTCACATGCCTCAGGTGACGTCATCACCAGCGGAGGCTCAGGTCTCACACATCGCGGGTCTTGCTGACGGGGCTCAGAGGCCACACTGAGGAGTTATTATGCGGTCTATGAAACGATGAAGACCGTGTTTATGTGCTGTCTGATCGTTGAGCTAGTGCAATATGGAGTTATTGCCTGTTTGCAACGCTATTAATTATGCGGTAACCTTAAAATAGATCATAATAAAACGAAAGTGTTGAAATGGATACCTATTGCATTGCTGAAAGCCCTCATTAGGTACCTAAAAATCAGCTACCGGTGCTCTAATCTATAATATTTTGAGACCACTCGACTGCAATTGTTGAATGTACTTCGTTAGCAGCTGCGAATTGTCAGTCAGCATTCACATGGCCACACGGCCGTCCGTGTAGAGTAGCATTTTATCCGCGATATTCTCATCATATATCGCGCACTGCTGTTGGCGCCGGGCATTGCGGCGATACATTAGCCAAGATCATACCGGAGCGTCCTTACAGCTCTTTTTGCGGGAACCGTGGCACCCGCGGCGGACCGTACCTACGACACGGAGCGAATTACGCGCAGACCATTGGTCACGGTCGTTTGGTCCACGCCGGCGGACCAGCGGTCACGAGAACTACCCTCCGCTCCGGGAAGCGTCGTGGACGCTGCCGTCACATTGTAACGGTTAATGGTTCATGACACATATGCACAGACACGCAACTTGGCAATGTAAAGTCTCAGCGTGAGTCTGACGTATTGTCAAGGATAACGGACTGCGTACATAATGCACAATGGTATCGTACTTAGCGGAAAGGACATAATGATAACAACAAACCATCTGCCTAAATCATTCCTTTTTTTAAAGGGCCAGTGGTCCATAATTTGACAGCTACCAGGCACAAATATCAAGCTAGACGCATTTTGATATATGTCTATAAAGTTGAGCCACTATCATGACAATAAATGCACCATAATGTCAGAGCCACTTAGGACACTCCCACAATTTATTCGCAGCAAACAGCTCCTTGCAAACAGGAGTGTCTCACACGCGACTGAGAATTTCGTGTGCCAATAACAGGGTTGCATCAACAGCTCACTGACATGTCGCAGTGTGTGTGAGAAGAGACTGGCTACTGGGGCGGTGCCTGCGGCGCTTAAACGCAACTTCATTTCGGTTCCCTCAATTACAGGTCACGGTTTGCCTTTGATTGGCACCGGTTCTGACGGGCCTGGATTTCGCCATAAGATCGAGGTGTCATTGATGTAATCGAGGAATAAAATACGGATTTTGAGGTCGACGGGCTGATGGGGAGAACATCTTTCGCGTTTTGCAGGTATAAATGGCTCACACTAGCGTTGTTCTCTAAACCGTTATCAGACTTTCTCTACCTCGCTTCCAACCTTTTGTTCTAGCGCGTTGATAATTTCTTCTTATACGGGCAATATTGATTACATGTAGACGTGCTTACTGCCACAGAGCAACCAATTATTTCTGAAGTCTGCTACCCAAAATATTGTGGCTTGTGGGTTATCGTAAGATCCGGTTTTCTGATGCTACCTCATCCTTAGTGCATGCTTAGGTATAGTTACATGTGATAACTACATAGATTACAGCGAAGCAATTAACAGCGTTAAATAGGAAGCATGAAATAAATGTGCACGTTAAGTTAAGCACGTAACGTGATTGCATAGTGTAGTACATAGATTACATTACATATGGTGATCGCTTAGTAAAGTTGAAAGGCCGGTATATAAGCGTGAAAACCACTAAGCAGTGAAACCAAAGTTCCACACGGCTGGACGACGCGAGCGAATTTTGTCACAAGTCAGTTGGGCAACACCCGGGCAGGACTAACGAGACGGCGAACAATAAACTGATCCGTTTAATCCCGCGCGGCCCGAGCTGTCCGACTCGTAACACACCGGCTCCTTCCCGTTTCATAATCCCCACCCGTGAAAGTGGTTTCCGTTAGAGGCCGCGTCTCGGCGGGCCGAAGCTGATGACTCGGCCGGCAGCCGTCGATAGCGGTTGATATTGTTTGGACGCGTCGACGGGAGACCGATCACCTTTCTGCCGCGTGGCCCGACGACCCCCGGTCGCGCTCGGGTGCTCCGCCGCCGCCGCCGAGCGGTGCTGAGCGGTGCCGGCGCGGCGGCCGGAGGGACGTCATCCCGGGTCACTCGGCGGCGGCGGCGGCGGCGGCGGCGGCGGCGGCGGCGCACGCGCCAGTCTGCGGCGGCGGCCCAGAGCGGCCGGTCGGCGGTGCGGGAGGTGACGGGGGAGGTGGTGTGTCGGTGTGACGGCGACTGACCCATGGACTGAACAGACACTCGAGGGGAGAGGGGACCAAGAGGACTGCAAACGCCGAAACCGGGGGACCCGGCAGGACTCCGCCTCAGGTAAGTAAGAGCTACTTTTAATTGATAAAGACATTCCGAGATCGTGCGCGACGCCATCGTGTGACTAGTGATTTTTGTGGATCATATTCATTCTTAAAATGTATGATCGTGGTCAAAATAACACTAAACCTTTTCCATGTCTTGCGTGCAATGCTGTTTGTGGTCAGCTTATTTGGAAGTAACACCTATTCAAATCCGACATCAAGCTGATTGGGTCAAATCATTCGAGCTTCTGTAAGCTTAATGCAAAAGAAAAATGGTTGGAAGAAATCACTTTATTGGAGCATCCACCTGCCAGGTGATCCAGGTGATCAGCCCAATTCATTTTTTCTATAGACCATACTGATTTCGTCTTCTTCCTGTTACTTTATAAGCACTGTAATGTTACAGTAGGCATGTTCTGATGTTTTTACTGTCGTTATTTAAAATCGCCCGGGCCACTGAACCGCACATTCGTCTGCCGACCGTGCTTGTGTTTGTGTCGTAATCTTTCAGTGCCCGCTGCTGCACACAGTTGGCTCAACTACCCGCGTTATTTCAAGTTTCAATCAATTACTTCCCAGTGTGACATTCACATCGTGCAATGGAAATGGCCGAGTTGATCAGGGAACAATGAGTTTGTTAGAGACCTTTCTTGCTCAACCAGCATCGTGACACGATAATTCAATTGCGGCTTTCCCTCTCGTTAACGGCTTCGTTGGTTCTGTAGTGTGTGCCTCGTGAAGGGCCATGGCAATTAAGTTGATTTTTCCGTGCTAGCTGACAAACAATGTGTATGATCAATTATCATGATATCCGGTGCAAATAGATGTTCACTGATAACAAGCAATCAAACGAATTTTAATGCTTGCTTTTAATGAGAGAACAAAAGAATAACGCTGCTTGTAAATCAGGCCCTTTTACTAGCCAGGTCCTATAGTAAATATCAAATCTAAGAAGACAAAATGTATCGGAATTTCGGTAACCCTTAGCTGTGCACAATTATAGTTCTACTTCTCTAATTACTACTGTTCATCAAAGTGCTGTCCTTTTAAGACCCGCCTTACACGTATCTATGTCGGAGCTCCATTGTTTCGTCGGGCCATAAGTCGTGTCGGTCCCTGTTCATTACCTGACCGCCCCTACCGTGCCCGATCGGGGACAAGGAGACAAATGGCGGGCCCGGCGTGACACGTTCTGAACGGGCCGACCCACAGCGTGCCTAACCAGCGACCGAATCCTGTCCGGGCCGGCCCACCGCGTGCCTTACCAGCGACTGGGTCCTGTCCGGGCCGACCCACCGGGTGCCTAACCAGCGACTGGGTCTGAGCGGGCCGACCCACAGCGTGCCTAACCAGCGACCGAATCCTGTCCGGGGCGGCCCACCGCGTGCCTAACCAGCGACTAGCCCGCGAATGGGTGCTGGCCCGGCCGGCCCATTAGGCCCACAGCCTGCCTAACCACTAAATAGTCACTTGAAGGCGACTGGGTCCTGTCCGAGCCGGCCCAGCCACCGCCAGCAACGCTGCCCCCCTTTCCTCCCAACTGTCCAGTCCGGGACGAAACAGCCATCGTCGAGCCGCGGCTGTGTTCTGTCCGGCCGACCCAGCTAGCACCAGCACCGCTGACCCCACGACTTTGTCTTTCCTAGACACATCGAGGTCACCTAGCCAAGCACGACTTCCACGATTCTGTAATACGTGTAACTTACAGTTTCATTAGGTCAGTTCACTAATGCGTGGTCTCTGGCTGGTCTATGGGATCTCGAACAATCTCTTGGCCTCTGAGACCTGCTCCCATCAGTGGTCCACTGACCACTGAGGATGGCACGCCGAGGCCTCAGCGCGGCCCATCCACTCGGAATGCACGAGACGTGCGCGCCTCATTCCGGGTCAGCTTCGGGGCTCTCTCTACGAGAGGACCTCCGAGTGGCCTCTGAGGCCGTACGTGATCGATACGGAATACCGTTACGGGATTCGACGCGATGCTTATGAAGTGTTCGGCGCGGTAAATGCAGCTTCACTCGGCGATGACAGGTCACTGGATCATGAGATGTATGATAAATTTACGGCTGAAGAAGCCAACACGATCATAGTGAATGTTATTTTTTAATTTGGATCCTCGTGCATGCTTACCATTTCATTCCAAATTGTTCAACATCAGCCGATTACTTGTTATATCCGGCTCTGTTGACCTCAGCTTCCCTTCCTTTGATCTGCCACAAATCAGACCTCAACCCGGGCTCGGGGTGCTCATCCGTGACGACGGATTCGAAGGAACCGAGCGGCGCGGCCGATTTATGGCTCCCGCTCACGAACTGAGCCCGCTGCATAGTCGAGAGGAAGGCAGTTCAGAGGTTAACAATGACGCCGCTCCATAGAAAGGCATCGGCGCCAACAAATGTGTTCCTGTGAACCGATGCACGACCCCGCCACTCCATTGTGCCGAGAAACTTGGCAGGCTGGTTTAGGCTGTGTTCGATCTGTCACAACTGAAAGATACCTCGCACCTGATAGTAATTTTATGGTACATGTCGATATCTACGCAAGGAATTAGGAAAAAGCGTTTCTAGAACGAGTGCCAAGCCATTCATCTGTTATGTTTTGAATGATCAGCGTCATTGAATCATCACTATCAACATGATACCTAATTAATTACCTGTACGTTACGGTAGTAGGCACGAAACTTCGAGGATTGATTCAGCCAATGCATGACTAGATGGACTTCAATGAAAAACAGCGTTTAAAAGGACAAATGCAGTGATTCTGTGGTTTAAACGTGTCTTGTCAGGCCATATGTAATGGCTGAGAGCGTCGCTTATAGGTTCTAGCTATTGTAACATCCACCGTTTAGTCAAACAGTCACGAGACTGCTATCAATCACAAGAACCGAACCGTGGTCTGGAGACTCCCGCTAATCATAGGAACTTGGAGCGCTATGAGAAAACGGCAGCTCCACACCATAAAACCACATCACGACGGAGACTGCAATGCATCACAAGAACACACCGTACATACAGCGGCGACTGCCACAGCTCACAGGAAGACATCACCAGCCCGGCTCTCGTGCTACCGCGCCCCGGCCCAGCTCCTGCCGTGTACCGGTGAGCCTCCATCACCGATTGGTCGCGCGTCACTCCCGCACGGCTACCCTCGCGGCGGTTCTTCTTTTTACACGGCTCCTCAGGCAGCCGTGACGCCCGTCGTGACCCGCCGGCTGGTCACGTGACCACTGCGCCCGCCCCGGGACCGGCGTGCAGCCTTGTGCAAGGTGCGTGGTTTCTTGGAGCTGCCAGGAGCTGCACAGCGCCGCAGGGGCCCTCTCGATGGTGAACAGGGGTCACTGATCAATAGCCTCTTTCACCCTTGTCGTGTCCTGTCGAAAAACGATTCGTGATGTCCGTTAACCAAGCTGCTGTGATCTCGCGTTTATCCGTGATAGAAACCATTATCTTTCGAACCACAAACGGTGACAGGTGGCAATCACGTGATGTAAGGGCGGCACCGGAAGGTATGCATGAATCGCGTGCCTGAGTGTCACAGCCGGTACGGGAGGTGAGCCTGGCCCGGTGCAGACTCCTCGTCCCGGCACTGCGACCGGTATACGGTGGCGCTGCGAGTATCGTATGCAGCGACACGCTACTTTCACCGGCAAGTGGTGCCGACTGCGGTCGGCGCGTGCCGAATCGGCACAGAGGATGGGGTGGCGCCGGCGGCGACCACAATGGCAGCCTTCCGAGGCCGCCGCAGGGACTCGCAGACACTCCAGCGCGCGTCATTTACTCCACAGGCACTCCACTCTCGGCGTCTCAGGCACTCCACTCTCAGTAGCTTCGCAGAGAAATTCCACCACTCGGACTATGTTTATTGACCGAACTAGGGAAGGCTCTGAGGACTTTGGGAAATATCTTCGCATACGTATAAAAACTTGTTGCTTAACCCGCGCGGGGCTGGGGGGGTAAATTTTACCCCCCTCGCGAATTTTTGCAATATCTCAAAAACGGCGGCGCGCAACGCCGCCAAACTTTCAGTACCTTTTCTTACATCAATTTGACACGTTTCCTGAAAATTTGAGCGAAATCCGTCGGAAAATTTTTGAGAAATTGACGTTTTAGTGACGTCATGTTCGCCATTTTCGCCTCAAAAACGGCTAAATTTCAAACGCCGCTAACCTCTTCATTTTTAAAGGAATCAAGACGTAACAAAAAAGGTTATACGTAATTCTACTTTGTCTATCAAATGGCTATCTCGGTTTTTTGAAAATGTTGGATTTTAGCCCAAAGTTTTTCAAAAAACTGACTTTTTTGGGAAAATAATTATAAAATCCAAAATTTTGAGTGTATCGAAAAACCAGGAATATATGTCAGAGAAATGGTCTATGTGCACCTACATACCAATTTTTAGAAGAATCGGTTCAAAAATGTGGGAGTTATTCAAGATTTTATGACGTCACGACACACAAAAATTTTGAAAAATGATTTTTTTTGGAAGTTCTGGACCTCGTATGGAAACAAAAATAGCACCATTCGATTTGCCGTGAAAAGCTGCATCAGATAGACACCTTTTTAGGCCTTAACAACCAACTTCAAAATTTGACCTCACTTGACCTGACCTTGACCTGACCTCGACCTGAAATTCATCCAGAGGTGGTCCATATCACTTATTGAGTGTGCCTATTGAATTCTATGAGTAAAATGACCCATAAAACATGTGTCGCACATGCCCTTTTCTATATTTTGTTTTTTGGTGACCTGACCTGACCTGACCTGACCTGACCTTGACCTTGACCTCTGAATGATATTGTATGCAACGAATATTGTCTTGGTAGCCTAAGAACACGTTTTGGGCAATCAGTCTCAGTCGATGACTCCATTCTTCGGCAACTACGGTGCAAGGCCGATACTGTAGAAACTTGCAATTTGTACCCTTGACCTGACCTTGACCTTGACCTCAAACTTCAAATTAAGTACATGTTTTTAGTTGTTCGTGATGAGATCTTTCGATTGGCGTTTGATTTTTCCA